AAAGAATCTTGTGCACCTGTCCTGTGGGGTTGTTACTTGTACAATGGTGCTCAAAGTGATGACGTGATCTTACTTCATCAATGTGTATTGGTTGCAGGGCCTGGTGTGGAACTCAGGCACTATTATTTGTGATTTACAGAGTGTTCCATAACAATGAACAAGGATGGCACCTCATGGTACTTATGAGCACCTTTGCTGTTGAGGCTGTTCATTGTGCAGGCCTGGCCTCATGTTTTCGAAATGATAAGTAGTGACATCAGCAACTTCCATGCTGACTAGTGTTTTCACTACTGGTATGTTGACTGCAGGACCAACTGGACTGTGAAGTGACATGCACAGCTTGTTGTTTCACCAAAGTATTGAACATTTAGAGGCTGCTGTGATACGACTTGCTGTTTTAATCACCTGTGATTGCATGATGAAGCTTCAGGGTCTGGCTTCCCAAGTCTCTGAAAATATGAGGTTACCTGTTCTCAAGACTTAGTTCTCCAAGTGTTGAAACATATATGTTGTGTGATCTTCACAGAAATGGTTTTCAAGACTTGGTGTTCCAAGTGTTGAAAGCATTAATGTACAAAATATTGATGCAAACTGTAGAAGGAACAGTTCATTTATTGGACATGCATGTACTACATGTGGTACCAACAGAAATAAACATCAGATGGCTTATACTAAGTTTGAATCAAGAATTGGCTGTCTGCCCAAGTCTTGATGTGTTGTGATAATGCTGCAGAACTTGGCTTCACAAGTTTTCAAACTCTATTCAAGACTTGGTGTCCCAAGTATTGAAAATTGCTCCTTGTGCAAGGCATCTGGGGCCCAGCAAAAAATTGGCTACTATTCAAGTCCTTGCGTGAAACACCTGGTTTTCCAAGTCTTGAAAAGGTTCAGGACCTGGCTTTCCAAGTCTTGACAATGATTGCACTCTGCAAGGCTTGGCTTTCCAAGTCTTGAAACTTTTTGCAGGAAACAGTTTGGTCATGGACCTAAGTAAGAATTGAATTATGTTTTTCATGACTTGGTCTTCCAAGACATGAACACAAGTGAAAATATTTGTCAAGACTTGGCTGCCACAGGTCTGAAATCTTTCATATTTCTTTCAAGACTTGGCATGCCAAGTTTTGAAATGTTACATGTTTGCAACTCCATGTCCCCAAGTCTTGACAATGATTGCACTCTTCAAGACTTGGCTTTCCAAGTCTTGAAACTTTTTGCAGGAAACAGTTTGGTCATGGACCTAAGTAAGAATTGAATTATGTCTTTCATGACTTGGTCTTCCAAGACATGAATACAAGTGAAAATATTTGTCAAGACTTGGCTGCCACAGGCCTGAAATCTTACATATTTCTTTCAAGACTTGGCATGCCAAGTTTTGAAATGTTACATTTTTGCAACTCCATGTCCCCAAGTCTTGACAATGATTGCACTCTTCAAGACTTGGCTTTCCAAGTCTTGAAACTTATTGCAGGAAACAGTTTGATCATGGACCTAAGAAAGAATTGAATTATGTTTTTTTTCATGACTTGGTCTTCCAAGACATGAACAAATGTGAAAATATTTGTCAAGACTTGGCTGCCACAGGTCTGAAATAGTTCATATTTCATATTTCTTTCAAGACTTGGCATGCCAAGTTTTGAAATGTTACATTTTTGCAACTCCATGTCCCCAAGTCTTGACAATGATTGCACTCTTCAAGACTTGGCTTTCCAAGTCTAGAAACTTTTTGCAGGAAACAGTTTGATCATGGACCTAAGAAAGAATTGAATTATGTGTTTTTTCATGACTTGGTCTTCCAAGGCATGAACACAAGTAAAAATATTTGTCAAGACTTGGCTGCCACAGGTCTGAAGTAGTTCATATTTCATATTTCTTTCAAGACTTGGCATGCCAAGTTTTGAAATGTTACATGTTTGCAACTCCATGTCCCCAAGTCTTGACAATGATTGCACTCTTCAAGACTTGGCTTTCCAAGTCTTGAAACTTATTGCAGGAAACAGTTTGATCATGGACCTAAGAAAGAATTGAATTATGTTTTTTTCATGACTTGGTCTTCCAAGACATGAACACAAGTGAAAATATTTGTCAAGACTTGGCTGCCACAGGCCTGAAATCTTACATATTTCTTTCAAGACTTGGCATGCCAAGTTTTGAAATGTTACATGTTTGCCACTCCATGTCCCCAAGTCTTGACAATGATTGCACTTTTCAAGACTTGGCTTTCCAAGTTTTGAAACTTTTTGCAGGAAACAGTTTGATCATGGACCTAAGTAAGAATTGAATTATGTCTTTCATGACTTGGTCTTCCAAGACATGAACAAATGTGAAAATATTTGTCAAGACTTGGCTGCCACAGGCCTGAAATCTTACATATTTCTTTCAAGACTTGGCATGCCAAGTTTTGAAATGTTACATGTTTGCCACTCCATGTCCCCAAGTCTTGACAATGATTGCACTCTTCAAGACTTGGCTTTCCAAGTCTTGAAACTTATTGCAGGAAACAGTTTGATCATGGACCTAAGAAAGAATTGAATTATGTTTTTTTCATGACTTGGTCTTCCAAGACATGAACACAAGTGAAAATATTTGTCAAGACTTGGCTGCCACAGGTCTGAAATAGTTCATATTTCATATTTCTTTCAAGACTTGGCATGCCAAGTTTTGAAATGTTACATTTTTGCAACTCCATGTCCCCAAGTCTTGACAATGATTGCACTCTTCAAGACTTGGCTTTCCAAGTCTTGAAACTTATTGCAGGAAACAGTTTGATCATGGACCTAAGAAAGAATTGAATTATGTTTTTTTTCATGACTTGGTCTTCCAAGACATGAACACATATGCCTTCACATTTTGGGCATTTGTCTGGAAAACACTTGGGGCTGTCTGGAAATACGTTTTCCAGACATGATGAAACTACACCAAGCAAATGCATAATGTACAACCCTCTAATCTAGTTGTGATACTACTATATCATTCGGGTAAAACATTGGTGTTCTCCAGCTTAGGTTGAAGTATGAATAAATGCTAATAAGAATATCTTGGGAGGCTTGTCCATCGGATCTTACTTTGCTTCAAGACTTGGCTTCCCAAGTCCTGAACTGTTATGAAACAGGTTCAACACTCGGTTTTCCAAGTCTTGAAACAAAAGAGCCTCACCATTTTCAGGACTTGGTTTACAAGTTCTGAAACACTTGTAAGCCATTGGGAGGCTTGTCCATCGGTTCTTACTTTGTTTCAAGACTTGGCTTCCCAAGTCCTGAACTGTTGTGAAACAGGTTCAACACTTGGTTTTCCAAGTCTTGAATGAAAAGAATCTCACCATTTTCAGGACTTGGTTTACAAGTTCTGAAACACTTGTAACCCATTGGGAGGCTTGTGCATCGGTTCTTACTTTGTTTCAGGACTTGGCTTCCCAAGTCCTGAACTGTTGTGAAACAGGTTCAACACTTGGTTTCCCAAGTCTTGAATGAACAGAATCTCCATTTTCAGGACTTGGTTTACAAGTTCTGAAACATTTGTAACCCATTGGGAGGCTCGTGGATCGGTTCTTACTTTGTTTCAAGACTTGGCTTCCCAAGTCCTGAACTGTTATGAAACAGGTTCAACACTTGGTTTCCCAAGTCTTGAATGAAAAGAATCTCCATTTTCAGGACTTGGTTTACAAGTTCTGAAACATTTGTAACCCATTGGGAGGCTCGTGGATCGGTTCTTACTTTGTTTCAAGACTTGGCTTCCCAAGTCCTGAACTGTTATGAAACAGGTTCAACACTTGGTTTCCCAAGTCTTGAATGAACAGAATCTCCATTTTCAGGACTTGGTTTACAAGTTCTGAAACACTTGTAACCTTTTGTTGGGAGACCTTTCATGTCATAGCTACACATAAAATTCAACACTTGGCACACCAAGTATTGAAAAAAACAGCTTGCATCTCACTGAGGGTGCGTCATTTCCAAACTTAGACACAATGGTGTTTTTGGTTCAAGGTCATGAGCGCAGGGTCTAGAGTCTTGATAGCTGTGAGCAATGACATCCAATGACATGGGCACTGTGCTACACATCACGAGGCCATGGGATAGTTGATTCTTGCAGTCCCTGGATGTCCCCACAATGCAATTGTATTTTTGCCCAGGGACGATTGTGGACCCAGAAACTTTGTCATTGCGATGGACCATGTTGCGCAGCACCCTCTCTTGGAGATTCTCTGGTGCACTTTAAAAGTTCTAGTTGTTGCAGGTCTATTTTTGAGTGGTGAGTTGAATGACACAAGTGTTATTGGGATCTGAGATTCGGGATACTTTAATTTTACAGTATAAGTAACCCGCTGTATTTGATGACCCCATCCTACGGAGCTGCCCCTGCTTTTCAGGTTGTGGGAACCTATAGGCTTTCTTTCAGTCATGAATTAGTTTACCAGCTTTTCTTTCTCCTGCACCCATACATGTACATGAACACACACACACATTTACTTAAACATTCATGGCAACAGGAATTACTTAGATCATGACAGCTAAGGAAATCATATCGTTCACTCTCCGTTTGGTGTCTACATGCAGGAGGCTGACAACTGATTCAGGAGATCTGAGTTTGGCATCCAACTGCAGGAGATCTGATGACCGATTTCAGCATCTAGCTGAGCAGTGACCACAAACAAAGGACATGTTTTGCGTGGTACAAAATGCGCATGCAGCCTCACTGCCTCAGTGAACACTGTTTTCTTGCTGTTCTGATTCCAAAGTGTTGCATGCATGACTGCTTGGCTGACATCTTCTTCTGAGTGTTTTGTTGGCCATAAGGCCAGACTGCAGTTACCTCAGTCTTTTCACATTGACGCCACACAGAACAAAAGATTGTCATTTGTTTCACACTTGTACCACATGTGCAACAACATGCAAGTAAGACTGCATTTATTGCCTTTTTGTTCACCCGGATCCATCAGCCTGGGTTCATACGGTGCTTACATGGCTTCTGGCCAAGGTGGTTGGGCTGCAGGACCTGTGCCTTTGTCACTTGATGACACCAAGGCTTTTGGACAGTGTCACTGCAGCATCCTTGCCCATTTTCTTCTTCAGCTTCATGCAGGCAGACGCCTTCTTTGCCAGCTCACGCCAAGTTAGGCCACCACTCTTCTGGACTTTGCACAACGTTGTTAACTGTTTCTTCAATGTGCACTTCTTCTTGTTGTCATCCCCCAATCTTTCTAGAACATGTTCAAGGTGGCTTTTCCGCCCATTGACTTTCACCTTTGTTTTTCCTGTGATGTGCTTCATGTGTGCAGCCTTTGCCTTCAGGCCTGATGAAAGCCTGTGCACAATGACATCACGCTCAAATTCTGTGACTGCTGCCAGCACACGTCTTTGAAAGTTCTGTGCTGGACTAGCCTCAGGACTGAAGACATCTGGTCCAGCATCGGCAACAACAATGGTCGTGCCTGACCTCTTTGCTGCTTCATGGAGTTCTTCTATGGCCGAACTCTTTCTCGCCAGTGTCCGCAGGCTTTCAACAAAGACATGTGAATATGTACCATCAATGAGCTTCAGCAGCTTTTTGCGCTTGGCCAATGGAAGCATACCACTGATGCATTCTGTGACCTTTTGCAGTTTCTTCTTCTCTGATGTCTTAACACCCGAACAGCTCATTGCACAGAGACCGGCCTTGACTTGACGTGTGTGAGTATCACCCTTTTTGTTGGATGAACTTGATGTCCTTGAATATATCACAGCCTTCTTAGCTGGCTTTCGAGGCCCATTTCTGGTGACGGCTTTCACCATGGCATTGTCCTGTGCAACCCTTCGTCTGAGGTCTGGGGGCCTAGTTTCTGAGCCTGATTTTGCATGATAAAGACAATTTGGCTGTGTTCTTTGCAGATTAACTCAAGAGACAGAAGTCAGTGCATTGCCGGTCTGAAGCAACAAGCCAACATGTGAATGACACTGAGATTGGGACCCATGCCATGAGGCATCTGTATGCTTGCCGGGACCTTATCTTAAATGCTTCAAAGTGATTCTTGAGTCAACTTGAGTCCCTATAATTCTTTGGTGTGCATTCTCATTTGGGTTACAAAGGAAAAACATGCCTCGCATGTCTTGGGGTCATGCAGCATGATCGGGCATCAAAAAAAATGTTTCACTGACAATCTAATGGGGCATGGTGATGCATTGGTGTAGGAATTGCTTTGTAATGACTGCCGCAGCTGCAGCTGCAGCCAGCATTCAAGCCTTCGCCCAAACCTGCTTCTATTCTTGACTTGCCATGTCCGTGTGTGGGAAGGTGGTGGTGCGCTCTTGCAAAGAAATGGTCTGGACTTTGTCTGACGTGTGCCATGATGTGCCACCAAGGCAACTCATCGACTTTATGGCGGGCTTCAGCTGTATCTCTCTCCTTTTTGACAGCTTGGGAAATGGCATGGCTGCTTTTCCCGTACTGGTTGACTTCGTCGCCTATAGCAAGAACCACCTTGGCCAGCTGATTGGTGCGTTTGTATTGCAGGATATGTCCTTCTTTGTGCTCAACGATCCTGATCCAACATACCAGGCCTACCTGCAGGAATTACGCATCCTCCAGCACGAACTGGCCAGTTTGCCGGGTTTCATTGCCAACTTTTTGGCTTCGGCACCAGCAGCAAAGTCAAAATCCACCGAACGTTTGCTCCAAGCTGCCCTTGAATGTGTGGTAAATGATGAACTTGCTGATTGCGCGGCATTGGACTCTATGAGGAATGCTCTGGCAAGGGTGCATCCATTGTTTCTGGATGCTATCAATGCAGCAGTGCCAGAAGCTGCAACGGATGATCGTTCTTCACAGTAAAGGCATGGTATGCGGCCAATTTCTTCGCTTCTCAATAGTGACTTTCAGTGCCAACCGTACAGTGATAGTGCAAGATTTTGGAAGCTGCGAGCATATGGGTCCAGGAAAATGATGCGATCCTTTTGGGTGCTTGAAAGAACAAACAAGACTTCCTTCAATGTACAAATTGAATGTTGAGGATTAGCTTATTATCTAGACATGCTTTGATTCCGTTGCTACTGGTTGCCATAAGGTTCAGGAGTTACTGTGGGTCACACTGACATGCAGATTATGGACATTCGATGGCCAAAGACAAGTTCCTTGTTTTTCTTGCTTAAAGATGAGCACTTCAATAACCACTCTCTAGGGCCTATTACCTCTTAAGCCAAGAGCAACTTGAGGCCTAGCACATTATCTTGGGCCAAGAGCGCTTCTTCATTCCTATTGTTTCAGAGGCTCTTCAATCAATTCATTCAAAGTCGCTGACTGAGTCACTGCTTCATTTTTTGGATGCAATGTGAAAACATAAGAGCCACATGTATACAGATACCAGGCATGAGAGCAAAGCAATCATCTGGCCATGTCCTGCCAGGGCCCCATTTGTTGAGCTAGTGATCATTAGATTGTCAAATTTTGGCACCATTGAAAGAGATGCAACAAAAAATAGACAAGAAGGCCTGGTGGGCTCTTTGAAGATACTATGTTTCCCAGGAGGTCTGGACCTTCCGCAGCATTGGTAGCAATCTCAATTGTCTGGGTTTGTTTGCATGGTGCAGTCTGCAGGATGAATTTGAACCGGATTGTTTGGCAACGTATGCCCAAATTTTCATGGGGGTTCATTCAAGGCTTGAATTTCACAATTTGAATCCGGGTAGTACCAGTTGGTCTTAAGACTTGGTATCCCAAGTCCTGAGACAGCAACAAGATACAGTGACAAGCTAAAAGCAAAATTCAAAGAGTTTCAAGACTTGGTATCCCAAATTTTGAAACATAGTTTGTTGCGGACATTAAATTTGGACTCAATTATTGGTTTCCTTTCAGCTTATCAAAGTATGAGAAAACAATCCTAGTTAAGCCCTCTACACTGAACATGGGGATGAATCAGTTTCATTTTAGGACTGCGGAGACTAGATTTTCATAGATGATGCCTACTTAACACTGCTTCGAGGAAGTACATTTTTGCAAATCCATGTCCCCGAGTCTTGACAATGATTGCACTGTTCAAGACTTGGCTTTCCAAGTCTTGAATCCTTTTAGGGCAAACAGTTTCAACATTAGACCCTTGCCAAGTAACAATTATGTCTTCCATGACTTGGTCTTCCAAGACATGAACGCAAGTGATAATGATTGTCAAGACTTGGCAGCCACAATTTCGAAATCTCACGCGTTTTTTTGTTCAACACTTGGAATCCCAAGTTTTGAACTGTTGCATTTTTTTGCAATTCCATGTCCCCAAGTCTTGACAATGATTGCACTGTTCAAGAGTTGGCTTTCCAAGTCTTGAAATGTTTTGCAGGAAACAGTTTGATCATGGACCTAAGTAAGAATTGAATTATGTCTTTCATGACTTGGTCTTCCAAGACATGAACACAAGTGAAAATATTTGTCAAGACTTGGCTGCCACAGGTCTGAAATCTTGCAATCTCAATGGCCTAGGTTTGTTTGCATGGTGCAGTCTGCAGGATGAATTTGAACCGGATTGTTTGGCAACATATGCCCAAACTTTCATGTGGGTTCATTCAAGGCTTGAATTTCACAATTTGAATCCGGGTAGTACCAGTTGGTCTTAAGACTTGGTATCCCAAGTCCTGAGACAGCAACAAGATACAGTGACAAGCTAAAAGCAAAATTCAAAGAGTTTCAAGACTTGGTATCCCAAATTTTGAAACATAGTTTGTTGCGGACAATAAATTTGGACTCAATTATTGGTTTCCTTTCAGCTTATCAAAGTATGAGAAAACAATCCTAGTTAAGCCCTCTACACTGAACATGGGGATGAATCAGTTTCATTTTAGGACTGCTGAGCCTAGATTTTCATAGATGATGCCTACTTAACACTACTTCGAGGAAGTACATTTTTGCAAATCCATGTCCCCAAGTCTTGACAATGATTGCACTGTTCAAGACTTGGCTTTCCAAGTCTTGAATCCTTTTAGGGCAAACAGTTTCAACATTAGACCCTTGCCAAGTAACAATTATGTCTTCCATGACTTGGTCTTCCAAGACATGAACGCAAGTGATAATGATTGTCAAGACTTGGCAGCCACAATTTCGAAATCTCACGCGTTTTTTTGTTCAACACTTGGAATCCCAAGTTTTGAACTGTTGCATTTTTTTGCAATTCCATGCCCCCAAGTCTTGACAATGATTGCCCTGTTCAAGAGTTGGCTTTCCAAGTCTTGAAACTTTTCGGGGTAAAGAATTTCAACATTAGACCCCTACCAAGAATTATGTCTTTCATGACTTGGTCTTCCAAGACATGAACACAAGTCAAAATGATTGTCAAGACTTGGCAGCCACAGTTCCGAAATCTCACACCGTTTTTGTTCAAGACTTGGTATCCCAAGTCTTGAACTGCTACATTTTGTTTGGATCTTGACAATGATTGCACTATTCAAGACTTGGCTTTCCAAGTCTTGAAACCTTTTAGGGCAAACAGTTTCAACATTAGCCATTAGACCCTTGCCAAGAATTATGTCACTGCATTTGTATGAATTCGAAAACATTGAGTAATCACAAAACTGACCACTCTTTGCAAACAAAAATGCTCTCACGAGCTCTTGTGCATGTGGTCTTGCTGCGTACTGGTTACTACCCAAATATATTATTAATCAAATCTATGTATCTCAAACCTAAGCCGTATGAGTGTACAGCAGTATGAACCATATTGTAGCATCACAAGATTCGATATCCCAAAGAAAAGGGTCTGACTGCAGGTACTATGAGAACACTTGCCAGCTACTGTGTGATCCATTGCAAGAGCCCCAGAAAAAAGTAAGCATAGTCATACACTTTCTGGATTTCAGTACAGCTGGTTGATCTTAAAATAATGCTGGTTGAAGAAAACAGAAACACATGACAATGAAAACATTTAATTTAAATGTTCTATTTTCAGTGCCTCTAAGTTGGGCTCTGCCACGAGCTTTGCCATGCCGCATTTTCTTCTTTGTGTATTTCAGGTTCAAGATCTGATTATGGCACACAAATAATGAGTAAGATTTGGGTCAGCCAATTCAGTCAAATTGAATTGCATGAACGGATTCTGTGACCCATTCCAGATCTTATTGCCATGAGTTTTTACTGCAGCTTTTCTACATCTTGCATCAAGTGCCATGGCTTGACTGCTGGTTATGTCTCATTTGTACATCTCACATCTTGCTCTTTGTAGTACAGTCTTGACCACATTTTTTGCATCTCTATTATTGCCATGGCTTGGTTTCGTGAAGTGGCTGCCTGGCAAGTGAAGGAAGTCTCAGCCTGGAACTATTACAGAAGGCAAACGACCCTGGCCCAGGAATTTCTGGACAAGGATGGTTGGGAGGTGGGGCAGTCCAAAAAAGAACGATTTAACAATTTGTGAATTGATTTGCATGACTATTATTTGTTGATTTGATTTCTTCAAAACTGTAGTGCCTCTTGTGAGTGTGCCATGCTGCAGGAAATCACATGGGGCAACGAGACCCGGTTGGAAGATTGCTTGCTTGAGGGAGATGGCTCTGCAATGCAGTACCGGCTCAAAAACAACAAGTTCCCTAAGTACCGGCTGGCAGCTTTCAACGAGTTTGGAGATCAGCTGGTTCTTCGCCACGAGTTTGGGTATGGAAGGACTTGGGGGCCATCATCTCTGTGGAAGAAAACATGTTTGAATATTAATTTTGCTGTGAACTTTTGATCTGATGTACTAAACGAAAAAGCATGTGAGTTACCGATTGAATTTGTTTGTTTCTACCACACATCCCCAAAATTGCTTTCAAACATCAGCCAGGATCGTGCTTGTGAAGAAGCTTGGAAGCCCATTTGTCCAGCTTGTCTGTCACAAGAAGATGGTCTCAATGCAGGTGCCGCTGAGTGGTGTGGTCTTGGGCAAGCTCGCCGTGAAGGACGAGAGTTTCACGAAGCTGAAACAGCGAGCGATGGACCATCTCATGACAAACTCAAAGGCTCCATAGACCATGCCTGAACGTCGGCGATGCAAGTGGACAGCTCAGTTTCCTCGTCACCATGGCAAGGGGATGCCATTAATGGGGGCATCTTTGCGAAGGAAGGTCTTAAAGACCATTCAACGCAGAAAGGGTTTCAAAGGTCTCTTGTGACTAAGATCCAGAGGCAATCAGTCCAGCATGGGGAGCAATGCTTGGATGGAAAAATGTTGAGCTGTTTGTGCCTGACATTGCCAGGAAATACCACACTGTTACTTCAAGTGTTCAACATTTCCATGCTGCATGTTTCAAATGTCAATCCAATGAATGGTTGGGTGTGTCATCTAACCACTGCCACATAAGTGAAATACTTCCAGCTCAGTGAGAACTTTGAATTCCATGGTGTCAGTTGTTTGAATAAGATGATACTTTTTTTGATTGTACCATGATGCAGTGTGGTTCTCTGTCATCCCCAATTAGACTCATAGTTTCAGGAGCATAATTTCAAAATACCTAATATAAGTGACAACTCTGGTCTGCCAAGGTGGCTGGTGCCATTTCTCGGGACATCATTATCTTAATGACATTGCCTATTTGGTCTTAAAGTTTCTTTCAAGTGGTCTGTCAGGTACCAGCTCCCGATGTCCAAAGTCACTACACTAATGACATCTGGAGAAATGGCACTAGCCACCCTGGCCAGTGCCATTTCTCAGGACATCATTATCTTAATGACATTGCCTATTTGGTCTTAAAGTTTCTTTCCAGTGGTCTGTCAGGTATCAGCTCCCGATTTCCAAAGTCACTACACTAATGACATCTGGAGAAATGGCACTAGCCACCCTGGCCAGTGCCATTTCTCAGGACATCATTATCTTAATGACATTGCCTATTTGGTCTTAAAGTTTCTTTCAAGTGGTCTGTCAGGTACCAGCTCCCGATTTCCAAAGTCACTACACTAATGACATCTGGAGAAATGGCACTAGCCACCCTGGCCAGTGCCATTTCTCAGGACATCATTATCTTAATGACATTGCCTATTTGGTCTTAAAGTTTCTTTCAAGTGGTCTGTCAGGTACCAGCTCCCGATTTCCAAAGTCACTACACTAATTTGACATCTGGAGAAATGGCACTAGCCACCCTGGCCAGTGCCATTTCTCAGGACATCATTAATTACCTATTTGATCTTAAAGTTTCTTTATTGGGTATCAGCTCCCGATTTCCAAAATCACTACACTAATGACATCTGGAGAAATGGCACTAGCCACCCTGGCCAGTGCCATTTCTCAGGACATCATTATCTTAATGACAATTGCCCATTGGGTCTTAAAGTTTCTTTCAAGTGGTCTGTAAGGTATCAGCTCCCGATTTCCAAAGTCACTACACTAATGACATCTGGAGAAATGGCACTAGCCACCCTGGCCAGTGCCATTTCTCAGGACATCATTATCTTAATGACATTGCCTATTTGGTCTTAAAGTTTCTTTCCAGTGGTCTGTAAGGTATCAGCTCCCGATTTCCAAAGTCACTACACAAATGACATCTGGAGAAATGGCGCTAGCCACCCTGGCCAGTGCCATTTCTCAGGACACAATTACCAATGACAACCTGCAACCCTGAGGCTCAAATGGCTTCACCTCCCTTCAGTGATGTCCCAAGTGAAGTTTGTCTGAAACTGAGGAGATACTTAGTGATGTCAATTGATTGTGCCCAATCTCAGGATTCAGTTTCCACAGCTGAGAAATGGCACTGCCCACCACCGCTAGTGCCATTTCTCTTTATTGAGTTAGCTTCAGCTGCCTTTTCTTGAACTCTAACTGATGGTGGATAACTTTTGGTAGCACTCCATGTAGCAATTCATTAGAAATGGCACTGGTGGGGGTGGCCAGTGCCAGTTCTTGAGCATTGGCACAGGACCAGGAGGTTTTGGCACTATCATCTGAAGTCATTTGACAGTGATGACTTTCAGCACTTTTGGCTCAGAATTTTTCAGGACATCCCAATTTTGGAACTTGCCATGGCGTGGAGGACAAGCCCTGAGGCAAAAGCTGCAGCCCAGAAGCTCATCAACTGGTCGACTGAGATGTTCAGTGGATCTGGCAACCCAGAAATCGATGATGCATTGGACTGCAGTTTAGGCCCCAGTATAGAAATATGTCTGTGTGTGTGTTCGAGTGGTCAAATTGCATTTTCACCTGAGTGACAGTGTCAGTTGATTCACTGAAGGCACCTACATGGTGAACCAGTTCGGGCACAACCATGGAGCTTTTCGCAGTGCCCTTCATGACCTGATGATTCGCATTGAGAGGGTGCAGCCTTCTTTTCAGTTTGAGCGACGTGCAGCAGCTCTGGCTGTGCCGGTGCCACCAGCAGAAGGGAGTACAGAGGAGATTGTCTTGCAACCTTGGATGCTGGGCTTTGGACCAGATTTCAGCTTCAAAGGAACCTCGAAGAGTGTGTATGTGCTCAGGCTCATGCAAGAGTTCCTTGAAGTCCCATACGACTCAGTCAAAAATCCCATTGGTGTCAGCTTCAAGAATCTGAACCCTGGGTCCAACATCGACCCATTCTCAGTGACCATCACGAATGGGTACACCAAGAGCATTGCCATGAAGCTCATCCTGGTTGCTGCCATCGATGTGTCTCTGACAGACGCTGAGCTGAAATCTCTTTACCCCTTCCTTGCAGCATGCTACGGGTTCAGGTGTGTTCACAAGACTTCAGGTGATGCTAAGGCTGACCAGTTCAATTGCCTTGCAGAGAAGTTCAGTGAATCATCAAGGCCAAGACCAGACCCAATTCAGTGTGCGTTCATGTTTCGCCAGATTCTTGCACAGACTGGTAAAACTTGGAATGAGGGGATTGATGATCTTATCCAGGAGTTCAACAGTGGCAGTGGCGGGGAACACAAGAAGGTTTCAGCCTTGGAGGCCTCTGTGATTAAGATGTACCCCACGTTGCACCAAGACACACAGGACTTGGTGGCATATCACTGGTCGAACTTCCAGTCCAAGACTTCAGCCCTCACCTTGAAGATCATTGGCTCTGAGGTTTTGCGTCCCTTGGCAAAATGCTTGATGGCATATTTTCTTTTCAGGTCCAGAAACTTTGCTGCGTATGAATTTTCAAAAGTTTTTTTCACTGACGCTGACCAAGGGAATGGTGCAAAGCCCAAAGTGGACTCTGACCTGTGGAAGGCAATCCTGGCTCCTGACAATGACAAGCGACACATGTGGATCAGCAGGAAGGTGCGCTTCTTTGTCCACAGGCTGGCAGAAGCAAAGCGTCTCCGGAAAAAGATCAACCTGCAAAGCAATGCCCAAAGTTTTCGTGATGTTCGAGATGATGCAGACTCATGGCAAATGTGCTGCTTGTTTGCACACTTTCGCCCGGCATTCGAGAAGGTGCTCACAGATGCACAGCTGGAAGCTTGTGAGCTGAAGTTTGTCCGCGGCTACCTGGACACTGAGATGATGGAGAAGATCCGGATCCAGTCCCCAGCGCTGCAAGTTGGCGACTTCCGATTCTTGACTGACTATGGTGTTGCAGAGGGGATCCTGGGGCCCAACTTGGACCTGCAGAAAGCCAACTTGGATCTACAGAAAGCTGAGATGGTCAAGGCCGTTGCAAAGCTCCAAAAAGAAGAGACCAAGTTCAAGGAGTACCAGCTTGGCGTTGAAAACTTTCAGAAGGTCGGTCTGGGTCTGCGTGCAGAAATGCTTGAGAAACAGCGTGAGGCTCAACGTGCTGCAATCAATGCCATGCAAGAGTGCAACTTCCCAGTCCGAGATCTTTCAGAATGTGGCCATGGAACGACATTCTATGAGGCATCAATCCATCGCTTTGCAGCTGAGAAGGGTCTGGCTGAGAACAAGTTTCTCAAGATCTACTGGCTCAATTCTTCAACCTTGGGGTACGATGGATGGAAGAACACAATGACAGCTGTGAAGGAGTATGCTGGTTTGATCGCAGCAGCACCAGCAAGCACATGCTTGGTCCTTGCATGCCCGACTGTTGGTGGATATGGCAACGAATATGATGAGGATGAAATTGCGAATACAGCTGCCAAGATGATGGACCTTTTGAAGATGCCAGAGCACCGACTCGTGCTGCGTGAAGTCACTGTGATGTTTGACCATTCAAGTTATCCACCACAGTCAAACCGACCTGGTGTACACAAGTTTTTCATGTGCATTAGTGACTTGCAGGAAGAAGGTGATTATGTCAGTGTGTTTGCCAAGTCTGCAGCTTGGAAACGACAGGTGATCCCATCCTCCAAGGACGTCACGGTGCAGATGAATTCAGTGAGGAATTACGTCGACCCTCGGCGTGACTTCAAGACTTCTGCAGGAGTCATGGATTTGTCCAGACCTAGCAGGCGAAAGCAATGGCTGTCAGGCTTTTCTTTGCCATCTGCATGGCTACAGGGCCTTTTGCTTGGTCTTGGCCTTGATGGCTCAGTGGGCTGCTGCATCATTGACACCTTTGCCTATGACCACAGCATGGCTGAAGCCATCATGCGGCTGTCCTCCAACACCAAGTTGCCATCAATGCTTTGTGTCGGCCTTGTTTGGGCCGAGGCCAATACTCGTGATCCAAATGGCGCCAACAAGAAGGCCGATGCAGCGAAAGTTGCGAATTGGCTTTGTGTCGCCCTGAAGAGGCGGCTTCAGGCTTTAGCCACAGAAGGCATCACAGTCGTTCCAAATTGGGAGCCATTGTCGACTTACGCAGAAAATCGCGTCATGCCCAGTTTGAATTCTGCTGATTTCACATGCACATTTCCAAGTGCATCGAATGAACTTCCTCTCAGAGCCGCCTTCCTGGATGCGATGGAGGAGAAGCTCACCATTCCAGAAGTGCGGGGTGAATGGATGAAGATGGTTCAGCAGCAAAATGCTGCTTTCAACAAGGAAGGCAATCCATACCGAGCTGAGGGTGAATCATCAGGGGCAGCAGCAGCAGCGGCTACAAGCACCAACAAGCGCAAGCTTGAGCCTGCAGAACAGCCACCCACAGGAAACAAGCTGCTTAAGTTGGATCATCACAACCAGGGCCAGGCAATCTTTGATACCAATGGTGGATTGTGGTTTGAAGCAAAAGCTGATGCTGATGCTGAGCTCAATCAAGGTGGCCCTCCCATTGCACTGATTTACGGGAACTTCAAGATCCAGGAGGCTTGCGTTGAAAGGAATAAAGATGCTTCAGAAACCTGTTTTTGTTTCTGCGAATTAACCCCAGCAGAAACTTGCCACTCTGGGTTGTTATTGTTCTGACCATCAGACCAAGACTTAACATTCCGAAGTTGGGACATATTTTGTTTTACCATGATCAACATCTGACAGGAAGCAGACAAGCTGCTGGAAAGCAAGAAAGATGAAGTCATGCCAATGGCTTTTGAGAGTGACCAGGACATTTGCAGCTTCCGGATGGCATCAGATGCTCAAGGCACCTTGTGCACTCTTCGTGACTTCCTGCTGAAGGTCGAGGGTGGAGGGCAGGATTTGGCCACATTGGATGTGGCTTGCCATGATTTGGTGGCAAAGGTGAACAAGGAGCCCAGCAATGTTGACCAGGAAACAATGTAAGAGTTTTTTGTACATTGCTACTTATGATTTGCTTCCATTTAATTTTGCCCTGTTACTTCTAATTTGGTTCCATTGCCAGGACAGTGCTGGTGACGTGCAGAGCCGGACATTTGAGTTGACCAAGAAGTCCAACTGTGTCTTTCAACCTGTGGCCACACCACGGAAGGTGCAGTCATCGAAACCCCCGACATGGGAAGATGCAGGAAGCCTCATTGCCGTGGGGAAGACAATGACACAGCTGGCAGCCGGTGAGATTCGTGTGGTGCCACATTGGATGGTCTCAAACAGCAACCAGGGATTTGCACTTAATCCAGAGAAGCCCGGCATCTATGTGGCGACGGATGTGGTGATCCCCGCGGGCAAGATCGCAAAGCTCCTTTGATCCAAAGACAGGAGAGCAGTGAGAGTTTAAAAACAATGCCTGATTTTGCTGCTGCTGCTGCTGCTGCAGGTTCTGTGAACTCAAGCAAGTTTCAAGGCTAAGTAACGTTCTAGGCCACTTGCAAGTTCATGTCACAGATGCAAAAACTTGAGAATCAGTTCAGTTATCTGCAGGCGTTGCCAGTTGCTCTGTAGTGTTGTCCGAGTTAGATCCTTCATTCTCACCACCTCTCGATGTCTAGCATTGCAATGTCGGACTTCGACATGGCCATAGATGAGCATGATTGGATGCAGGACCAGGATGACCAGACTCCAGGGACATCAGCACAACCAGTTGCTGTGAGCAAGTTTCATCTTCATGAACCTGTTACAGGGCCAAAGCAGGATGAGGCAGAGAAGATCCGTGAGCAAAAGAAGGCCTCAGCTTGGTCTGATTGGGCCAGCCCTCCGGTTGCTGATGGAGAGCCTCCTTCCAAGACCCGTCGCTTGAGTGGAGCTGAGAAGAGTGCGGTGGAGAAACATTCTGCTGCAGCACTTGCATTGGCAAAGAAAGCTGCTCATGAGAAGGAGTCCGCTTGCCGATTGGCTTCCAAAGTTGCATCACAGAAGGAAGACTCCGCAGCACGTCAAATTTTGCGAAGGGCAGGGAAGTCAGATGGTGAGATCCCGAAGCTGCAGGTTGAGAGCAAGACTACACCTGCAGTGAGTGATCCTCCTGTTGAGCAGGAGAAACCTACATCCTCGACCCCTGACATCCCCAAGCCGAAGAGGGCAGCCAGGAACACTGCAGGTACATTCGCTGGCTATAGGCCACCTGCTGACCCTGCCCTGAATGAAATCTTCATGCTGAAGAAAGAACTCTATGGCAAGACTCGCGAGGAGCTGGCAAAAATGTATCCAGGACGCAAAATGGAGTTTGGAAAGACTTGCTCACAAGCGGAGTTTTGGAACTATATCCGGAAGAAGATGACCGAGCTGCCCAAGATCCCCAAGCCCACACAAGCTGATGTGCGTGCAGCCGTGAAGAAAGCTTCTGCTGAATGGAAGCAGAAAATCAGCGCTGAAATGGGCACGTCTGGCAAGTCTGGCGGATCGTAGGCTTTAGTTTTGACACTTTGTCTTGGGAAATGATTTGAACCAATCGAATCATTGATTCACTATCAGCTTGAAATAGCTGATGTGCTCAGGGTAGCTTCTTGAAGCACTTTGTGTGTAGCTTCCGTGATGGCGACAAAAAATAAATCGAACTTCAAAGACTGAACGTTGGCCACTGTCATTTGTTCTGCATGTATGTCATTGCAATGTCATGTGTCACTTGTTTGCCTTCATTGGTAGCTGGGCTCAAAGTTATGACAACAAAAATGGTGGCAAAAGAGTCGTTTAAACATGTTTTTTGTTATGGGCAGAATTGTGAGAATCCAGGTTGAACAGGAAACAATTTCAATGTTATTAAATCACATGACTGCACGACGAGCTGTATGACTTTATTTTTTTCTATGGTTGGACATCTTTAGACTTCGCACTGCAAGTATTATGCATGGTTGGCTCAATCCTCCCGTTGCTGAGACCAAGCCTCTAGCTTGGCTGAAGCCAGCTGCTGGTGGCAACGTTGCATACAGTTCCTGGCTGAACCCAGAAGTTGCTGTGAAAAGGGACTGCCCTGGCACGGAAACGTCAACTCCGAAGCGAAAGAAGGATGCTGCATGGTTGACTCCAAACGTGGGAACTTGTCGTCATGATGACAGCTGTACTTCTCAAAATGTACAGCATCCTGCAATTCCAGAGATAGACATTACAGTTGGTGCAGCTTTGATGGTTGTGGGAGGAGATGTGGAAGCAGTGCAAAAAGATGACACACATTCGAAGGAAAGAGTGCAAAAAGTCCAGCAAATGTGCAAAAGCCCTTGCCGGAATGGGAAGGGGAAGAATGGCAGCTGCACAAGTTGTGAGGATGGGTTGAATTCTGTAGATGCTCTAGCATTTTTGAAATTGTGGAATGCAATGAAAGGTCAGCAAAAGACACATTTGCTCAATACCTTATTTGACACAGCAGGAGGCTTCCAGGCAAGCAGAGTCCGGGTGAAGTTCTTGGGAAAACGTATATGTGTTGCTCGATTATGCCAGATCCTGCAAACATCTCCACGTACCTTCTACAAGCATCGCAGTGGTCGTCCAGATCGTCGTGCTTCTAATGGCAAGCCCATTACAGATGCACAAATCAGTGTCAACATGTTCTTCTACAACCTCTATCACACTGCAGCCGAGTTTTTGCCGGAACATGAGCATGAAAGTCTTAAGGATGTTGATTCTGTGATAGATGCTGCAGAGCAGGGTGCTTGCACAAGCAGTGCCACTTGCTTACCTTCAGATGACCTGTTGCCTTTGATTGGGCAGGACCCAGAGAAGCAGGCGAGTTCTTCCAATGGGTTTTGAATCAATGGTTTAATTTTAAATGTGTACATGAATTTGTATATAAGGGTTGCAAGTCAGGATCGTAAATGTTCATTGCTGTCAGGTGGTTGCAAGTATTACTGCTTTTGCAGCTGGTGCTTCGAATCTTCCGGTACGTTACATACAGCATCAACACGTTGTTGATCTGTGGTGGCTGTATTTGAGCTGGGGCGATTGTCAAAAAGCATCCTGGAGCACTTTCTGGCGATGCTGGACTTCTACATGGTTTCATTGCTTGAGGCTGCGAAAGCCATGCCAGCACTCTCAGTGTGATGTGTGCTGGGAGGCATCTCAGTACCTCCATCATGGAATGGGCAGTTGGCGAGAGAAGCAGGTTCGAGCTCAGCAGTGGCAACTGCATCTTCGGCAGCAGTATGCTGACCGTTGTGTGTACTGGACACTCCGGTGGGCCAGCAAGTAGCCGCGATCAGATATTCTCTGCCTGATCGTGGATGGACTTGATAAGTCAAAGCTGGTTTTTCCACAGTACCACTTTCGTTGCCCCAAGCAGTTGGATAAATTTTTCAGACCACGCTGTGAGATTCACCTCGCCCTTGTGCATGGCTATGCCGCCAATTTCTTCGTTTCTGAAGAAGAGAGCATTTTTCATGGGGGCAGCTATGTGTTGGAGATTCTGGTGCGGTCATTGGCGCAAGTGAAGGCGGAAAGGCAGCGGCAAGGACTTTCAATGCCAAGGCACCTGTGCCTACAAAGTGATAATACAGTATCACAGCTGAAAAATGCTGAATCAAGCCTCTTTTTAGGGGTATTGCTACGTCGCTTTGGTTTCGACACCTGCGGATTAACATATTTGCAAAAAGGACACACGCATGAGGATGTGGACTTTGTTTTTTCATTGCTGTTGGGACGGGTCTTGCGGAAGGTTAAGATTCAGTGCCCTCAAGATCTTTGCGAAGGGATCAAGGCTGGCATGGAGGATCTTTTGCTTGCAAAAGGGTACAAAACACATGCAGAGCTGGTCACACACTGCCGGAACTTCAAATCATGGCTTGATAATCTTGGAGTGACACCACATGGCTGCTATCTCCCCAGGCAGGGCCGGGACTGTCCCCACAGTTTTTGTTTCAAGTTCAGAATGGACCTGAGCCAGCTGGAAAAAGAAGCAGTTGAGAGGATTGAGCCACCAAGGCATCGCCGTCAACAACATGATTTGGACGTGTTTTGCATCACAAAAAAAATCATGTCAAGTACAGAGAGCTTTACTCCAGTGCTCTTGATCCCAAACACCATCATTGCTCGCTTGCCAGCAGTTCCAACACAGACCATTGATGTTGAGATGGCAGACAAGCGGAAGGCCGACTTGTATGGCTTTGCAGCAGAACTTGAAAGATTGTCATCTCAGTGGGGAATAGAGCATTCTTTGTTTCGTGCTGCCGCAGAGATCAGGATTTTGGCAAATGGACGGCCTAAGGTGCAGTCACAAGATGGTTTCTTGGAAAGCCTTGCAGCAGCAGTAGAGAGAAACACCCCTTTGCCCTTGAACAATGCTCCGTACTACAACCACCTGCCAAACATCACATGGCAGATGATGGTGCGTTTCCGACGGTGACAAAAGTTTCAGCTGCTGCTGCTGCCATAAGTTTGGGTTTAGTTGCAGGTCACCCAGCATTCAGTTTGGTTTCTTGAGCTTGGGATTCTGAGCAACTAGTTGCTCTCAAAATCTATCTGCTTTGTGTGTCATTTTGCTCAAGCCCCTGCTATAGCTAAGAGTTGTGAATATGGAATCCTTGTCTTACCATGGCTTCACCGTGGCAAACATTTTGGCAGACGGCAAGTTTCAGTCCCTGGAACGAGATCTAGATGTCGTGGAACTTTTTGCTGGTGTAGCATCAATTCACGGAGCTGCTCAAGGTGCTGGAGTAGCTTCGGCAGCTTATGATATTATCCGAGATCCAGGACGAAGTGATTCACAGGGTGAAGACAGCGAAGACTTCTCCTGCAAACAAGGTTTTATCAATGCTATTAAGCTGGTGATGAGACTGCGACCAAAAGGTCTCTGTTTTCTTGCTCCACGCTGTGGGCCATGGATGTGGTTGAACGTGGTCAAGACAAGAAGATGTTTACAGAACCAATACTGGGGAGACAGGGTGTACAACCAAGAAGCAAATGAGTCAGCCATTGGGTGCATCATCCTCATGGAATTGGCAGAGGCACGGGAAGTTGAGCCGGTTATGGAAAATCCGGTTAAGTCCTACATCTTCCATTGGCCCCCTTTCAAGATAGCAATGACGAAGATGAAGATGGTTTGTGCTGTGACCCACAGATGCAGCTGGGACAAAAAAAAGAAACCTCGGATTTGGAAGAAATATCGATTCATTGCTAAAGGTACCTGGATCAAGGCAGTGGTGAAACCTTGTCGTTGTGGTAAGGTTGGGCACCTGAGAACCAGTGGTGTCCAAGTGAAGGACGGGAAGAAGAAAGTGACTGGCATTCCTTCCAGATTGAAGGAGTCTGCAGCGTACCCTTCTTCCCTTGGAGCTGCAATTTTTCATGCATGGCAGAAAAGAGGAGAGGCCAAGGATGAGAAAAATGCGGCAGCTTCAAAGAGGACAAAGCGGGTCACAAATTCAAAGAAGGCTACAAGGGCTGCAAAGCCAAAGAAGGCTACAAGGGCTCCAAAGCCAAAGAAGGCTGCAAGGGCTGCAAAGCCAAAGAAGGCGGCAAGGGCTGCAAAGCCAAAGAAGGCTGCAAGGGCTGCAAAGCCAAAGAAGGAGAAGAAAGCCAACACAAGGAAGGCCACAGTTCACAATGAGCCCAGTGCCAAGAAAAGCAAAGTCACAAAAGAGCTCAAGCCTTCGACCCAACCCGTCGCCACTGCACCAGCACCATCTTGGTTGGATCCAGGCATTGGTGATGATGTGAAACGTTCACAGCCAATCGCAGCAGCATCTTCATGGTTGACACCCAGTGTGGGCATACTGAAAGCTCTGCTGCAGTCAGATCTGACAGGCCTAATGCAAACAGAACCACGACAAGCTCCTGGTTGAACCCAGCACCTGGTTCGTAAGATAGACGGTTTCGCACAGTCTAGTTCAGCGCTGAGAAAAAGTGCTTGAAGCTGCTTTGCTGGTGCAACAGTCAAGGGGTGTACATTATGCTTTGCTTGGTGTAGTTTCATCATGTCTGGAAAACATAGGTTTTGCAGACATAACAAGTATTTCCAGACAGCCCCAAGTGTTTTCCAGACAAATGCCCAAAATGTGAAGGCATATGTGTTCCATGTTGGAATTTGGAAACTGAAGCTGTAAAAAAACATGCCATCCCCTGGTGAATTGTTGAAGTAATAGTTTCCCACCAGCATAAAAAAAGAAAAAACATGTTTGCTTCAAGGTTTGAAGAATCAATGATTGGGAAGAAAAGTGATATGTTAAAAAAAAATCTTTGTTCAGATTTCAGCCTAGGCTTCAATGCCTAGCCTGCATGAGAAAAATATGTTAAGGATGCACCATGATTTCAGGACTTATGTTGCAGAACTTATATTATATAAGTTATGCTTATCACAAGCAAGTTGTTCTGTCATTTTTGGCCATTAATTAGCCAAGACTTGGGAAGCCAAGTTTGGAAATTATGGTTGTCAAAGTTTGCAACACTTGAACACCAAGTCTTGAAAATATTTATGATTTCTTTTGGGGATTTGGAGAGCCAAATCCTTTGAGCTAGTAGTCTTGAAGAATGGATGAAATCACAATTTGGGAAGAAACTAAATCCTAGCCAAGTCTTGAAACCTGCAAACCAAAATTACCAACACTGTTTGCACAAACATTACCAAACTGTTTCCTGCAAAAAGTTTCAAGACTTGGAAAGCCAAGTCTTGAAGAATGCAATCATTGTCAAGACTTGGGGACATGGAGTTGCAAAAATGTAACATTTCAAAACTTGGCATGCCAAGTCTTGAAAGAAATATGTAAGATTTCAGACCTGTGGCAGCCAAGTCTTGACAAATATTTTCACTTGTGTTCATGTCTTGGAAAACCAAGTCATGAAAGACATATATAATTCAATTCTTACTTAGGTCCATGATCAAACTGTTTCCCGCAAAAAGTTTCAAGACTTGGAAAGCCAAGTCTTGAAGAATGCAATCATTGTCAAGACTTGGGGACATGGAGTTGCAAAAATGTAACATTTCAAAACTTGGCATGCCAAGTCTTGAAAGAAATATGTAAGATTTCAGACCTGTGGCAGCCAAGTCTTGACAAATATTTTCACTTGTGTTCATGTCTTGGAAGACCAAGTCATGCAAGCCATAATTCAATTCTTACTTAGGTCCATGACCAAACTGTTTCCTGCAAAAAGTTTCAAGACTTGGAAAGCCAAGTCTTGAAGAGTGCAATCATTGTCAAGACTTGGGGACATGGAGTTGCAAAAATGTAACATTTCAAGACTTGGCGTGCCAAGTCTTGAAAGAAATATGTAAGATTTCAGACCTGTGGCAGCCAAGTCTTGACAAATATTTTCACTTGTGTTCATGTCTTGGAAGACCAAGTCATGAAAGACATAATTCAATTCTTACTTAGGTCCATGATCAAACTGTTTCCTGCAAAAAGTTTCAAGACTTGGAAAGCCAAGTCTTGAAGAGTGCAATCATTGTCAAGACTTGGGGACATGGAGTTGCAAAAATGTAACATTTCAAAACTTGGCATGCCAAGTCTTGAAAGAAATATGTAAGATTTCAGACCTGTGGCAGCCAAGTCTTGACAAATATTTTCACTTGTGTTCATGTCTTGGAAGACCAAGTCATGAAAGACATAATTCAATTCTTACTTAGGTCCATGATCAAACTGTTTCCTGCAAAAAGTTTCAAGACTTGGAAAGCCAAGTCTTGAAGAGTGCAATCATTGTCAAGACTTGGGGACATGGAGTTGCAAAAATGTAACATTTCAAGACTTGGCGTGCCAAGTCTTGAAAGAAATATGTAAGATTTCAGACCTGTGGCAGCCAAGTCTTGACAAATATTTTCACTTGTGTTCATGTCTTGGAAGACCAAGCCATGAAAGACATAATTCAATTCTTACTTAGGTCCATGATCGAACTGTTTCCTGCAAAAAGTTTCAAGACTTGGAAAGCCAAGTCTTGAAGAATGCAATCATTGTCAAGACTTGGGGACATGGAGTTGCAAAAATGTAACATTTCAAAACTTGGCATGCCAAGTCTTGAAAGAAATATGTAAGATTTCAGACCTGTGGCAGCCAAGTCTTGACAAATATTTTCACTTGTGTTCATGCCTTGGAAGACCAAGTCATGAAAGACATAATTCAATTCTTACTTAGGTCCATGATCAAACTGTTTCCTGCAAAAAGTTTCAAGACTTGGAAAGCCAAGTCTTGCAGAGTGCAATCATTGTCAAGACTTGGAAAACCAGGTCCTGAACCTTTTCAAGACTTGGAAAACCAGGTGTTTCAGGCAAGGACTTGAATAGTAGCCATTTTTTTGCTGGGCCCCAGATGCCTTGCACAAGGAGCAGTTTTCAATACTTGGGACACCAAGTCTTGAATAGAGTTTGAAAACTTGTGAAGCCAAGTTCTGCAGCCTTATCACAACACATCAAGACTTGGGCAGACAGCCAAGTCTTGATTGAAACTTAATATAAGCCATCTGATGTTTATTTCTATTGGTACCAGATGTAGCACATGCATGTCCAAAAAATGAACTGTTCCTTCTACAGGTTGCATCAATATTTTGTACATCAATGCTTTCAACACTTGGAACACCAAGTCTTGAACACCATTTCTGTGAAGATCACACAACATATATGTTTCAACACTTGGAGAACTAAGTCTTGAGAATAGGTAACCTCATTTTTTCAGAGACTTGGGAAGCCAGACCCTGAAGCTTCATCATGCAATCACAGGTGATTAAAACAGCAAGTCGTATCACAGCAGTCTCTAAATGTTCAATACTTTGAAAACAAAGTGTTGAAACAACAAGCTGTGCATATCACTTCAGTCCAGTTGGTCCTGCAGTCAACATACCAGTAGTGAAAACACTAGTCAGCATGGAAGTTGCTGATGTCACTACTTATCATTTTGAAAACATGAGGCCAGGCCTGCACAATGAACAGCCTCAACAGCAAAGGTGCTCATAAGTACCATGTGGTGCCATCCTTTTTCATTGTTATGGAACACTCTGTAAATCACAAATAATAGTGCCTGAGTTCCACACCAGGCCCTGCAACCAATACACATTGATGAAGTAAGATCACGTCATCGCTGTGAGCACCATTGTACAAGTAACAACCCCACAGGACAGATGCACAAGATTCTTTTTTACTCTTGGCGACTTTGGCCGGCAACGATCTCCTGGATGCCATCTCTCAGTTCACATACAGCAAATCCAAACCTAAGGGGAGCACATGGAGCAAACACCCATTCCACATTGGCATGCACAATGCACATAACAGTTCAGCCCAGTAGCTCATCATCATATGGCCAGCAACAGCCCGGACGATGTTCTGATACCACTGCTTTCTCAGTTCCAAAGTGCATCACACAGGCATTGCCAAGACAGCAACCAACATCAAGATGCACAAAGCAAGTAAACAACACAAAACAAATCAAGAAATAGCATATTAAACAAATCAAGGCATCATGAGTGTTTAGCCAAGAGTCGGCTCTGGTCCAGCTCGTGCCCTGGCCGGCTACCACAGCCATTGCAGCAACCAGAGCACTCCCGCCGAATCCAGTGGAGCATTGAATCAGAACATCATCATACCAAGGGTCGAAGATCTTCTGGATCACCTTCAGGATCCTGAGGTCATGTACTGTTCATACTACAAAGTCAAGACCTTGAGACATAAACCATGTGTTGCACAATTCAGAGAGCTCACGCTGCCACCAAGAATCCTCTGATTGCGACCTCTCTGGTAGTTCGGGTTGAACATCTCCAAGTCAATGTGTCTGTCCACCCATCTCCTCTGACCAAAGAACCTTGGACTGTCTCAGAGGACTCTTGTTGCAAATGTGATTCAACAAATTGCAAATGTTAGTCCAAGTTACGATTCGACGGAGATAATCAGAGTCTTCCGGTTCCTGCAGATCTTCTTGTAGTCAAAGAAGCCACTCACATAGACACCCCGTGACTGGTCTTCCGACACCGGCACCCAGCTCCTAACACAACCACTCTGTGAACAATCCCAGGATGAAGATGCTTCAGACTTCACAGCAAAAAAATGAAGCAATGGTAATCGAGCAAGCCAAGATGCGGATGATCATCATACTGTGCATGTCCGCGATGAAGCCAGTAGTGTATTTCATTAGGCCGCCAGTCCTCCACATGAACACAAGCAATGAGACTGGGTGAGATGCAGTTTCAATGCTCAAGTGCTGTGAAATGCCATGTATTTTTTATGTCTGAAATCATCGAGCTCTACCAAGTCCAGAAGTTGGGTAATAGTTGACTGAACAACCATTTAAGCAACAGCTGTTTGAAATTGTGAAGCAGCCTGGATCTTAGCCAAGTCTTGAACTTGACTAGAGCAAATCTATGTGGATTTACAATTTCAAAGTTTCACACAATGAACAGCAAGGTCCTGAACTGGCACATTACCTTCTGTCGCTTCCTTTGAAGCTGTCTCATCTGTATCCTGACAAGCCCCATCCAGAAATCTGTAGGACCAAAAACCAGTAGAACTCTAGAAAGTTGACAAATGATATATGTTGCCGTCCTTCGGCAAAGGTGCAGCAGCGGCTACTGATGAACTTTCGGCCACCTTGCGTATCAGTCCAGATCAAAGAAAACATAAAGTTTCCATAGCATGTGTTTCCATAGCATGTGTTTCCAAAGCGCCTCAGCATCAGTTGTGTGCAGCTCTTCCTCCATGTCCTCAGGCAAACATGATGGTAGAACCTTATGTATGACTAGCTCCTGATGGCTCACATGCGCCTCATCTCCGAGAACTGTTGGGCTTGGAGTTGATTGGGCTTGCACAATCTGGTCCTTTTGGGCCAGAGGACTTGTAGCTATGGCTTTGCATTAGGCAATGCAAAAATAA